TCAAAGGCTTTCGCGGCCGGAGTTCATTAGCTGTTGTAGGTTTTCCGGGTTGTCTCGCCGTGGTCTTGGCATTGTAGGACCTGACGTTTCGCCAGCAGCTGTGACTGGCATAGCCTAACTCAAACAGGACACAGTATTTTGTTCCAAGACACTGAAAGGCTGTACAGCACAATTACCACGTCAGATTACACAGGGAAGCCATTGAAATCCATAAACATAAACAGAAGGCAACACCCACCGCTCAGGCTCCACTGGACTGTTTTGGATTGCTAGCTATTGGTGGGGGAAGGAACGTGCAGATCTGTCCTAGCAGAGGAGGGAGAGCTTGTACCTGAATAAAACGTGGTCTTAAAGGTGCCACTGGACTGTTTTTGACCGGGGGGCCTGGGAAAGCTCTGCAACTTACCTGGCTGCTTCTTGATTTGACTGAGGGCTGCTGGGAGCAGGGGGTGGGGCTTGTTTATTTATTTATTTATCATTAAATTTATACCCCGCCCTTCCCCGTGGGGCTCAGGGCGGCTTACAAGGCAAGAAAAAACTTGCTAATAAAACATCAATACCATAGTACAATTAAAACATCATGTACAATTTAAAACCCATTTAAAACATTAAAGTGCTCAAAAACTAAATGCATGTGCCCGCCCCCTGGGCTCTTTACTGCCGGAGCGCCGCTCCTGTGCGCTCCTGCAGGAAATGACCCCTGCATTTTATAAAAGAATGAAAATACATACAAAACATTTGTAAAAATTGGTTACATAAGAACATAAGACATTGAAAGGCTGGACAACACTTCCAATTACCATGTCAGATTACACAGGGAAGCCTTTGAAATCCATAAACATAAACACAATTTCAACAGGAAAGAAGAGAGTTTAAAAATAAACAGGGCATGGTTTCCTGTCCTGAAAAAAACAAAAGGCTCTACATCTGACAATAGCACTACAGAGAAGATCAGAGTTTCAACAGCCAATCCACATACAAAAGAAACTATTCAGGAAAAAGGAAACCTCAGGAAACAATCCATATACAAAAGAACCTTCTCAGGAAAGCTCCTCCATTAGCATGTTTCACAGCCTGGGGAACTCCTACAAGAGAATGACTCAGCCCTACCCCAGCTTCTGGAGTAGATATAAATTACCTGCAGACCATTTTTCTTCTCACCTTGACACAGAGTCCTCCACCTTTTTGTGTTATACCTCTGAGGATGCCAGTCACAGCTACTGGTGAAACGTCAGGTCCTACAATGCCAAGACCACGGCCAGACAACCCGGAAAATCTACAACAGCCAACTACAGGGACATTTTGAGGCCATACGAAACTGGTATTAGAGCATATTCTAAGGTCAATATTAAGTACTCCAACCCACTGGCTTCTGATTCTGTCACTGAAAGAGGCGTGTTTTAATAACAAACACTTTAAAAAGCTCCTATCAATTTTGTCAGAAATTCACTCAGATAAATAAAGGAGTTGTTTCGGGGGCCCTCCAGGATTAGGGGCCCTGAAGCTTCAGCTGCGTGAGTTTCACTGTAGATCCGCCCCTGGTCCTGGCGTCTGGGCCTTGTGAGACAAGCAGCCAGAGAATCCCCCTTGCGGGTCCACCCCAGGCCCCCTGCCTTTCCTTAAGAACATAAGAGGGGCCGATGTTGGATCAGGCCAGTGGCCCATCCAGTCCAACACTCTGTCACACGGTGGCCAGAAATACCAGGTGCCCTCAGGAGGTCCAGCAGTGGGGCCAGGACACCAGAAGCCCTCCCACTGTTGCCCCCCCCAGCACCAAGAATACAGAGCATCATTTGCCCCAGACCGAGAGTTCCTATCTATTTGTTGTTGTTCAGTCGCACAGTTGAGTCCGACTCTTCGCGACCCCATGGACCAGCTCCCGCCAGGCCTTCCGCTGCCCTTTGAAGTTGGCTCAGTTTCATGTTTGTTGCATCTATGACACTGTCTAACCATCTCATCCTTTGCCGTCCCCGTCTTCTTTGACCTTCAATCTTTCCCAGCATCAGGGTCTTCTCCAGTGAGTGCTCCCTTCTCATTTGGTGGCCCCCTATCTATACCTTGTGGCTAATATCCCCTGATGAACCTCTGCCCCAGATGTTTATCCAAATCCCTCTAATAAGAACATAAGAGAAGCCAGTGTTGGATCAGGCCAATGGCCCATCCAGTCCGACACTGTGTCACACAGTGGCCAAAAACACCAGGTGCCCTCAGGAGGTCCACCAGTGGGGTCAGGACACCAGAAGCCTTCCCGCTGTTGTCCCCTCCCCCAGCACCAAGAATACAGCGCATCACTTGCCCCAGACTGAGAGTTCCTATCCATTCCTTGTGGCTAATAGCCACTGATGGACCTCTGCTCCATATGCTTATCTAATTCCCTCTTATAAGAACATAAGAGAAGCCAAAGTTGGATCAGGCCAATGGCCCATCCAGTCCGACACACTGCCACACAGTGCGCAAAAATGCCAGGTGCCCTCAGGAGGTCCAGCAGTGGGGCCAGGACACCAGAAGCCCTCCCACTGTGGCCCCCCAAGCACCAAGAATACAGAGCATCCCTTGCCCCAGACTGAGAGTTCCTATCCATTCCTTGTGGCTAATAGCCACTGATGGACCTCTGCTCCATATGCTTATCTAATTCCCTCTTATAAGAACATAAGAGAAGCCAATGCTGGATCAGGCCAATGGCCCCTCCAGTCCAACACTCTGTGTCACACAGTGGCCAGAAATACCAGGGGACATCAGGAGGTCTAGCGGTGGGGCCAGGACACTAGAAGCCCTCCCACTCTTGCCCCCCAAGCACCAAGAAGACAGAGCATCCCTTGCCCCAGACATAAGGACATAAGAGAAGCCAATGTTGGATCAGGCCAAGGGCCCATCCAGTCCAACACTCTGGGTCACACAGTGGCCAGAAATACCAGTTCCCGTCCTGGTAAGTTTGCCTTTGCAGACAAAGCAGCCACCCTGGCACCGGTGCCAAGGAAGCCAGTGTCCCCTTGCCCCACCGTGGGCGCGAGGAGGTCTTCGTGAGTCTCCCAACCTGGATCAGGCAACCCCCCCATCCCCTGCCTGTGGCCAGGGGGGACCAATGCTCCCTCTTCTAAGCTGTGGAGTCCAGTGAGCAAAAAATCTACTTTGTGAGCTGCCGGCATTACAGTTGTGAGCGACCGAGCGATTTGGCTGCTGCATCAATCAGTTTGTTCTGGAGCCCTCCTTCCTGAGCGAAGACACAACTGTGTGAGCAGGAGGCTAAAAAACTGTGAGCTGGCTCACACTAACTC